GGAAGAGGAAGGGGAGGAGGAGGACGACGACGAGGAGAAAGGATAACCGCACAGCCTGTGCCACAAATTGAACGAGCTGAATGAGATAAACGATTTTTGTATTATTATCAGTACGCCTACTCACCCGAACTAAATTGCCGCTACAATTTTGCTGACTTTGCAAGAACCATACCCCACCACTATAATAATAATGATTATCGAAGTTCATTATACCATGCCATCGCACGAATACATGTTATTACAAAGGGTTTTTTCGGAAACACTGGTAGTGGTAGAATACATTAATGTAGAAGCGCGAGCAAAAAGCTATGTAATTTTTACGTGACCTTGTCATTTTGTGTGACTGTTATGCTTCTACGATTGTTGTTGTCAGTTATTATTGTTACTGTTTTTCATGTTGCTGTTGCTTTTGTTGTTGTTGATATTATTGTTCTTGTTGTTTTTGTTATTATTTCTTTTTTATTCTTGTTGTAGTTGGGTTTTTTTCTATCATATTTTTTGTTTGTTATTCGTGTTGTTATTGTTGTTGCTATTCATATTGTTGTTTTTCAAGGTGTTGTTATTGTTATATTTGTTGTCGTTAGTATTCACGTTGTTATTGCTATCCCTACTGTCTTCAATGTTGTTGTAAATGATGTTATTAGTGGCTTTTGTTACTCTCACCTATAATAATTAATATTTTCATGCATTTGTGTGTATTACGAAGTGTTGTTACTGGCGTCTGTGCTCTAGTGATAAGTTGCTTCGTCGTCGGGAAATTTGAGTTCAATTCCCTGATGGGGAGAGTGTTTTTATCGAGTACCTCAATATTTGTACTGAGTTGTTGTATCCCTCTCAGCCCGGGTTGGCCCTGACAGGCAGAGTCGGACGCCTGCCTCCTAAAAGGTCTAAATTTTACGACGGGGGCGTAAAAATACTTACAGGTAAAAGTGTTGTTGAAGATTGAAAAACACACCAAAAGGATATAAATCGCACACAACATATTGTGCTCACAACATCTAAGCACACTTAGAACACACACAGCCAAACGTGCACTCATCCAAACATAATTCGATGCACGCATAAAACTCGACCACAAAATCTAACATGCTGACGCACACATAAGACAAACTCATACACGCATACACACTTACACATACACCCTTCCCCGTCCCCCCCACGCGCGTACACACTCACACACAC